ATTACAGAATTATTGACCAAAAATGTCGATATTTACATAGAAAAATGTCAATAAAAATACTGTGTGTGTCTATTCCGCAGTCCCACATCTAAGACTTTCCATAAGCTATTTCTGAATTGCATTGTTTCCTGAAAATTGGTAAACAACTATAAGCACATGGCAGAGTGAGAAATATTATACCAAGAGTATAAGGGACACGAAATAACCATGGATAGTTATGTAGCCAAAACATTTACATAAACAAATCATTTGAGTAGCAGAAATCATTTAAGTAGCAGAAACTGAAATACAGATATTATATAAACAGATAACCATAATCACGGTATAGAACAAAGGTCACAGAAGTGACAGTCAGAACAGAGGTACGGATTCAAGAGGTGGCTCGTACGGATTCTAGAGGTGGCTCCCATAATAGTGTAGCACTTAGCTTCGCATAGCACTTTGGTCCGCACAAAACAGAGGTCAATGGATCCATGACAAACAGAGGACCACAAAGTGGTCAAACAGAAGCTAATGGTTATTTAAGTCCCCCAAGGCGTGGGACTCCCGTGGTGGTACTTACAAAACATAATTGTTTATAAGGTTATAGTCAAATATATATTAAAATTTAAACAAACATATCCATGAGTTTCCTTTTTAAGTAAATAGAGTTTAGATAGTAACCCACGTAACTGAAATATTTATAAACATAACTTTTATTTATATAACTTAATAAATATAACTTGTATAAAATAAGTTATGGTAACTCAAAACATTCGTAAAACATATAATGGTAAAGCAAGGTATAATATAACTCACCTTAATTATAACCCTTAGCCTTACTTTACTATCAGAACTTCCCTACTATCAACTCCTCACTCTCACTTACGTACCTCTCTCTCTCGGCTTCCACCCTTTTGTTCTTTCATTTTTTCCTTTAGTAGTTTATCACACCCTTGCCCCCTTTTTATACTGTGAGCCAAGCCTCACTTGGAGTGTCACATACCCTCCCTCTCTTGGCAGGCATAATGAGGCTAGGGGTGGAGTTCTTAATTGCAAATTTAAGATGAGATTTGAGATTAGTATAAATCTTATACTTGGGCCTTGTTAGATACTTGGGCCTTTTTCTTTTCTTTTTTTTTTCTTCTTTCTTTTGGGCCGAAGCTTACAATCCTTGCTGGGCAACTAGCTTATTTCTTTGTATTCATTTATTATTATTTATTACTATCTTTAGGTTGACCCAATTAATATTACAATTCCATAAATGTGTTAATTTGCTCCCAAATAATAATTCCCAATTAATCCTATAATCCAATGCCAAATTAGATTTATATATTTATTTATTTAATACCCTATCATCACAAGCAACCATAATTATATATAATTCTAACTATTTATGTGATACTTAATTAAACGTTTAGGGTGTCACATTTCTCCCATTCTAATTAGAAGTTTGTCCCCAAACTTGACGTACCTTAACTTTCGAAGAGGTGTGGGTATTTGGCTCGCATTTGTTCTTCGGTTTCCCACGTAGCTTCTTCGATGCGATGATTTCGCCATAAGACCTTTACCAGCGGTATGGTCTTGTTTCGGAGAACTTGATTATGATGATCGAGAATCTGTACTGGTTGTTCTTCGTAGGTGAGATCCTCTCGAACTTCCAAGTTCTCATAGTCGATGACATGTTCTGGATCTTGGAGATACCGTCGGAGCATTAAAATGTGAAACACGTTGTGGATATTAGATAGCTCAGGAGGTAGTGCAAGGCGATAGGCTACAAGACCAATTCTTTCCAGTATCTCGAATGACCCGATGTAACGTGGGTTTAGCTTTCCGCGCTGTCCGAATCGGATCACTCCTCTTGTTTGTGAGATTTTGAGAAACACATGATCTCTTACTTGAAATTCTAAGTCTTGTCTCCGAGTATCTGCATAACTTTTCTGGCGGCTCTGAGCAGTGCGAATCCGTTGTTGGATGAGTTGGATTTTCTCACTGGTGATTTGTACGATTTCGGGGCCTAATAATTTCCTGTCCCCGACCTCCATCCAGCATAGAGGTGATCGACATCTCCTTCCATACAGAGCTTCGTACGGCGCCATTCCAATGCTTGCCTGATAACTGTTGTTATAGGCGAATTACACCAAAGGTAGGTACTCATCCTGGTTACCTTTGAGGTCCAACACACATACACGTAACATGTCTTCGAATGTCTGGATTGTTCTTTCAGATTGCCCATCAGTTTGTGGATGATAGGCCGTACTGAACTTCAGTGTAGTTCCCAACGCTTCTTGCAATTTATTCCAGAAGTGAGACACGAAACGAGGGTCTCGGTCAGACACGATCGATACTGCGATACCATGCAGCCGAATAATCTCCTTGATATATAAAGTGGCAGATTTATTCAGAGGGTACATGATTTTGATTGGTAGAAAATATGCTGACTTTGTCAATCGGTCTACTATAACCCATATTGCATCATTCTTTGAGAAAGACTGTGGTAGCCCGACCACAAAGTCCATAGTAATGTGTTCCCATTTTCATTCAGGAATAGGGAGTTGTTGCAGTAGCCCTGCAGGTCTCTGATGTTCTGCTTTAACACGCTGACAATGCAGACATTTGGAAACATGGCTTGCTATATCTCTTTTCATTCCAGTCTACCAGTAGTGTTTCTTCAGATCATGATACATCTTTGTGTTGCCAAGGTGGACTGCAAATCTCGAGTTATGAGCTTCCTCCAGTATCTTCTTCTTGAGTTCTGGGATGTCGGGTATGCAAATTCGATTCTGAAATTTCAGTATCCCATTGCTTATAATAAAATCAGGATCAGGCTTGTTCCCTTGTTCCTCGTACCTTTTCTTCAAGAGTCTATCTTTCCATTGGCGTGCTTTAATTTCTCCAAACAATGTAGGCTCTACGGTTACATTAGCGAGCAACCCATTGATCTTGCAGAAAATGAGAGTACATGTCAAACTTCTCGTCATCTTTCGGCTCAGTGTGTCTGCCACCACGTTAGCTTTGCCCGGATGGTGATGAATCTCTATATCGTAGTCTTTCATAAATTCCAACCACCGTCGTTGCCTCATATTCAGTTCCTTCTATGTTAATAGATATTTTAGACTCTTGTGATCAGTATAAATTTCGCAGGTTGTACCGTAGAGATAATGACGCCAGATTTTGAGAGCAAAGATCATAGCAGCCAATTCCAAATCGTGAGTCGGGTAGTTCTTCTCGTGATTCTTCAATTGTCGTGACGCATAAGCAATGACTTTTCCGTCTTGCATGAGAACGCAACCCAACCTATTGTATGAGGCATCACTATAGATTACAAACCCATCCGCTCCGGTAGGGAGTGCTAGTATAGGGGCTGACACAAGTCGACCTTTTAATTCTTGAAAGCAACACTCCTGTTTATCGGTCCATTCAAAAGGTGTGTTCTTCTGAGTTAGCTGAGTCAAGGGCGATGCTATCTTTGAGAAATCTTGTACGAAGCGTCGATAATAGCCAGCTAAACCCAAGAAACTTCAGATTTCCGACACATTAGTAGGTCGCGGCCAGTCCACGATTGCTGCAACTTTTGGGGGGTCAACCGCGATGCCATCTTTATTAATGACGTGACTGAGAAAGTGTACACTAGTGATCCAGAATTCGTATTTCTTCAACTTGGCGTAGAGTTTATGATCACGTAGTGTTTGTAAAACCATTCGCAAGTGCCGTTCATGAGCTTCTGGTGACTTGGAGTATATGAGGATGTCGTCAATGAAGACGATGACAAACTCATCAAGATAGGGTTTGAACACTCTATTCATGAGGTCCATGAAGGCTGCTGGTGCATTTGTGACGCCAAAAGGCATGACGAGAAATTCATAGTGCCTGTAACGGGTTCTGAAGGCAGTCTTTTCAATGCTTTCCGATTTAACTTTTAGCTGATGGTAGCCAGAACGTAAGTCAATTTTGGAAAATACTTGCGCGCCTTGAAGTTGATCGAACAAGTCATTGATTCGCGGCTGAGGGTATCGATTCTTGATGGTAACCTTATTCAGCTCCCGGTAATTGATACATAATCTCATTGTGCCATCCTTTTTCTTCACGAACAATACTAGAGCTCCCTAGGGTGAGGTACTAAGCCGAATGAAACCTTTGTCCAAGAGTTCCTGGAGTTGAGTCTTCAGCTCTTTCAATTCTGTCATCGACATGCGGTATGGAGCTTTTGATATAGGCTGCGTGCCAGGTTGGGTTTCAATGGTGAATTCGATTTCCCGATCAACTGGAATACCGGGTAGATCTTCAAGAAAGACATCCGGGAATTCTTGAACTACATGAATTGCATTAACGGTGGGGTCCTCTTTTTGTGTATCAATCACATAACAAATATAACTACCACAACCCTTTCTTAGAAGTCGTTGGGCCGCCATGGAGGATATAATACAGGAAGGGTTAGAAACTTCAGTCCCATCAAAGACAAGTTCGGGTTGGTTTGGTAACTTGAAGGAGACCTTTTTGGCTTTACAATCGATAGAGGCGTGGTTGGCAGCCAGCCAATCCATACCTAAGATTATATCAAAGTTTCCAATACGGAGGGGAATCAAGTCTGCATATAAGGTTTTGCCTTTTAGGAATATAGCACAAGATTTGTACACATTAGTACTACAAGCAGGCTTACCAGAAGGAAAAGACACAGACAATGTATATCCTAATGGTTCGGGTGTTGATGTCAACTTGGCAGCAAAGTGTGGTGCAACAAAAGAATGAGTTGACCCAGAGTCAATAAGGACATGAGCTAAAAGACCACAGACAGAAAGTGTACCTGACACAACATTTTCGGTAACTTTCGATTTTCCAAGTACCAAGGCGAAAGCCCGACCTTGGCGGTTTTGATCCTTCTTTTCTCCTCCCGGTCCCGCGGTTCTCCTGACTGGGCCAGAGGGGTTGGCTGTAGGGTTAACCATCTTTGGACAATCCCTTAGCAAGTGGCCAAACTGTCTGCATCTAAAACATGCTCCCGTGTCACGATGGCATTATCCTCAATGAGTCTTCCTACAAGTGGGGCAAGTTGGAATAGTGCCACCTTGGGGGTTGGTCGGACCTTGGTGGCCGGAACTGGTTGTGCCCATGCTCACCTTTTTATGAGGTGCAACACCGGGTCTTCTGCTATCCCTTTCCCAGAATCGCTTCTTGAAGCTTGGTTCTCCGGAACGTGAGGCTTTAATTCTCTTTTCTGCGATGTACGCCCGTTCCACCACTTCTGCATAGGTTGGCAATTTCAAGACCTCAAGTTTGTCTTTTATTCCAGCATCCAATCCTGCTTCAAATTTTCTTGCTTTTCGAGCTTCAGTGGGGATGATGTATGTTGCAAACCGAGCGAGTTGTGTGAACTTGCTCTCATATTTGGCCACCGTCATGGTTTCTTGCTTAAGATGTATGAATTCGGATGCCTTCTGTTCCCGCAATGAATCTGGAAAGTATTTTTCGTAAAATACTTCCAAGAATCTCGCCCAAGTCGTAATTTCTTCTTTGGCCAGAGTGAGAAGCCACAATTTCTGTGCATTGTCTTTGAAAGTGAAAGTGGCGAAAGTTACCTTTTGTCTCTCGGTGCAGGGTAGGGCACGAAAAATCTTTTCCATGTCTTTAACCCAAGCGTCTGCTATCATTGGGTCTGGGTTGCCGGTAAATGTGGTGGGTTTCAGGTCTTGAAACTGTTTTATGGTAACCAGCCCTTCTTGCTGTTCCGGCGTCCCATTGTTGATGTTAGTTTGTAAAGCTTGCAAAAAGCTAGTAACCGCTATTTCCATTACCCTTTCCATCGATTCAGTGCCACTAACTGATGACTCACTTCCATTACCATTAGCCATTCTACAAGTAATAAATGAGGCATTATATTCTCAACGCAACATATATATATATATATGTATATATGTAGCACAATACATATGTAGTACACTTTATATTTATATAAACTGCCAACATTACACATTTTTATTTATTTATATATTTTTTTCAATTCGCATTACATTAGTCAGAATATGTTAGTGTCCCATCCCTGCGGTAAACAAAACAAAAGTCAACAAAAGGGGATTAGAACATATCAAGATCAACATACAAAAGATTTTCTACTATCCAGATCTAGACTGGTGGGTCAGATGGACCGAAAAACCAGGGGAAATAGTGCTGCATAAAAAGCTCAAACTCTCACCCTAACTGGACTACACCAAAACACATCCATGATACCTGGACCGTGAAAATGGGGATAGACCGTATATGACCCACAAATACTCGGTCGACAATCCAAACAGGTGTCTCAACATATGACAGATCATTTTCGAAGTCAACATTTGGAATATTAATGATTTCCAGTGGGTTAGGGACTGTGGTGACAATATAATCCTCGGGGTACACGTTCCCCCTCATGGCTGCAAACTCTGGGGGTAGAGGGCCTATAATATAATGCGGGCGGTCGTGACCTGGGGCGACGCTAAGGACGTGAGATGGTCCGAGAAAACGTCTGCGTGTATGGACAAGGCTGTGCCTCCATAATAAGTGTGGGACGTCGGTAGGGTCAACCTGGATATAAATGGGCCGACCCATCAACCGGCCAAGGCCTAGGTGCAATTCCCTGACTATTTTCTCAGAATCTCCCCAACCCTCAGGTGAGACGGGGGCGGGGGCAAGGTGTTCAGCTAAGATTTCATCTAAATTGATGGCCTGGAGGTCATTCCAAAAAGTATCATCAAGGTAAATTTCTGACATCCCTACAATACCAGAATAAACGTAAGATTTTACTCAGGAAAACTATCGTCACAGGTAAATATTTATTATTACTATTTTATTTATTTATTTTTACTATATATATATATATATTTTCTCTTAGCTATATGATTATTATTATTATTATTATTATTTTAGGATTTATTTATATATATATATTTTTAGGATTTATTTATAAATTTATTTATTTTTATATATATATATATTTTTAAAACCGTTGCTCTGATACCACCTTTGTCACGACTCAACCCTAGGGGCTTAGAGTTGGAATCGTGACTTACTAACTTATTCTTATTCGTAGCAAATTAACATGCGCAAGTGGAAATAAAAATAATTAAACAGAAATTTTACTTCATTTTACTATTTAAGAAAGATGAAATACATTTCTAGGGCTTTCATTATTTTTTTATTCAGTGACCGGCCCCGAATAGAAACAAAAAAGGGAGCGAAAATATAAAAAAAAGAAAGATAAAATAGTGATTCAACATCAGTCCATGTGCAGGTTCCATTTTGTGGGGTTATGGGTTTCCTTTACATCTCGTCACCTGAAAGGGTAGCAGCTATAAGCACACAGCAGAGTGAGAAATATTATGCCAATAGTGCAGGGAATACAAAATAACCATGGATAATTAGGTAGGCTAAAATATTTGCACAATTTAATTTAAAATGACAGTTTATTTAAAGTGGCAGAATACAGAAATCATGTAATAAATAATCATAACCGCGGTATAAAACAAAACAAAACAGAGGTCACAGAAGTGACAGTCAGAACAGAGGTCAATGGATCCATGACAAACAGAGGACCACAAAGTGGTCAAACAGAGGCCAGTGGTTATTTAAGTCCCCCAAGGCGTGGGACTCCCGTGGTGGTACTTATAAAATATAATTGTTTATAAGGTTATAGTCAAATATATACTAAAATTTAAACAAACATATCAATGAGTTTCTTTTTTAAGTAAATAGAGTTTAGAAAGTAACCTACGTAACTGAAATATTTATAAACATAACTTTTATTTATATAACTTAATAAATATAACTTGTATAAAATAAGTTATGGTAACTCAAAACATTCGTAAAACATATAATGATAAAGCAAGGTATAATATAACTCACTTTAATTATAACCCTTAGCCTTACTTTACTATCAAAACTTCCCTACTATCAACTCCTCACTCTCACTTACGTACCTCTCTCTCTCGGCGTCCACCCTTTTGTTCTTTCGTTTTTTCCTTTAGTAGTTCATCACACCCTTGCCCCCTTTTATACTGTGAGCCAAGCCTCACTTGGAGTGCCACGTACCCCCCCCTCTCTTGGTAGGCATAATGAGGCTAGGGGTGGAGTTCTTAATTGCAAATTTAAGATGAGATTTGAGATAAGTATAAATCTTATACTTGGGCCTTGTTACATACTTGGGCCTTTTTTTTTTTCTTTCTTTTGGGCCGAAGCTTACAATCCTTGCTGGGCAACTAGCTTATTTCTTTGTATTCATTTATTATTATTTATTACTATCTTTAGGTTGACTAAATTAATATTACAATTCCATAAATGTGTTAATTTGCTCCCAAATAATAATTTCCAATTAATCCTATAATCCAATGCCAAATTAAATTTATATATTTATTTATTTAATACCCTATCATCACAAGCAACCATAATTATATATAATTCTAAATTATATATATAATTCTAACTATTTATGTGATACTTAATTAAACGTTCGGGGTGTCACACCTGCAGCCACCAATACATCTATAAATAGGACAACCCTCATTTGATGTTTTACATTCAGAAATTTCGTACTTCGGCTCTGCAAATTTATTCTTCATTTTGCTGCATTTTATTTTTTGTGAGAAAGAGTATAAACACTTAGTATGTTCGTTAGGCAAACAATTTGTAGTGCTGCTATTGTTTGTAATTGATCATTTCATCCTGGGAGATAGACGTCCACATTCTGAAAGTACTGTGGAGATGACGAATCTCTCTTAAGGACACAGTGTCAAACACTGGACTTGATTAGATTATTAATCGAACAAATTAATCAAGTAAGTTGTTTAATTTATTATTCTGTTTTTATTTATTTATTTATTTATTTCTAGTTTGATTTTTGTAATCAAACAAATTCTCTCATTTCCTTTATTTCTTTATATTCTGGTTGTTATTTAGTACACAACAGAATTTAATCTATTTAAATACAGTGAAGATTGTCCAACAATCTTAAGACAGAATTGTTTTTGATGTCTTCATTGTATTTAATTTTCTATGTTTTCAAAGTGATATTCTGGTTGGAAAATACAAATAGTATTATAAGCTATTTGACAGGTAGTAGTAATATACTGTCTATTTTCTTTGACAACTAGTAGTAATATACTGGTGTCATTAACAATTGCAGAATATTATTTGGTGTTATAGAAAATTAATTTGTGGTATTTTATTTTCTAGTTTTAGTAACAAAGAAAATAAAATTATTTTGTGTTATAATTTATTTTCTGGTTTTAGTAACTAGAAAATTAATTTTGTTAATCAATCATGTAACTTTGTGTCTCGGTCATAATTTGTAAATTTTGTACGTGACTTACGGTTTCGTTTGGAAGACCACTTAATTTTGAGCCCTTTGTGAAAAGACGTTAATTCTTTTGACTTTATCATAGTTCATTGTGAGTATACATGGAAGAATTTGTTTCTTGAGTAAAATATTAGTTTTACAAACTAATTTCATTTTTATTACGAAGAAACCTTTGTGGCAAGTTTATTTTATTTATTGGTTTTTTGAATCATTTTTAATTTCTGTGTGTGGATCTGTAATCGTGAATAGTTTCTGCATATGACTAGGAAATATATATATATATATTCACAAAAACATTTTAATGTTTATATATATAATTAGTTTATTTGTGTACTAATCAAACTGATTAAATCAAGGTATGTTTTGTCGGTTTTGGAGTTTATAGTTTAAAACGTGTTGTTTTACTTACGTTGGATTTTTGGGTTGAGAATCTTTTTATATCATGATGCAAGTTTTGGGATCATGCATGATAAATTTATTTTGTTAATTTATTTTTTTATTTGATGCATTTGATATGCATGTATTGATATCAACTCAAGTTATTTCTTAAAAAATAATCTCATGTGATTTGGAATGATAATTGATATGTTCACTTTGTACATAAGCAGATTAATTTGAGTATTTCTAATCAATTTGAATGGGTATTTAAACACCTGAGATATTTTAATAACATGAAGATTTAAATAGTTTTATTGTTCTATTTAATTGGAAGTAATTTTGAGAAATCTTTTATGTGGATTATTATTTGTTGAATTTGTGACATAAGATGTTGTCAATCATTATTTTACTTGTGTAGTAGAATTTTTTAAATCATAAACCATTATTTTAATATGGGAGTGTATCTCTTGCATTAGAAGAGATAATTTAGTTTTCTTTTATTACAAATATTTTTGTGACAATGATACTTATTCGTAAATGAGTTGCAAGAATTTATACAATCAAATGAGATTTTTGTTTTGTTCGATTCTTAGGCAAAATCTTTATGAAGATATGATTTTGTCAAAACATTAATTCTGACTTGTGTAGTCATAATTTGGTTTTTTCATGAATTTGTTTTGAAATTTATTGATTTATATTAGAAGTGATAGGGGTGGTGAATATGATGCACCATTAAATGAATTTTGTGCACAACATGGCATTATTCACCAAACTATAACACCCTATTCTCCTCAGCAAAATGGAATTGCTGAAAAAAAGAATAGAACCCTAAAAGAAATGATGAATGTCATGTTACTAAGTTCAGGCTTCCCACAGAACTTGTGGGGGGAAGCAATATTGTCTGCTAATTATGTTCTTAACAGAATACCCCACAAGAAAATCAACAGCACTCCTTATGAATTGTGAAAAGGTCGACCGCCTTCCTACAAATACTTAAAAGTGTGGGGGTGTTTAGCAAAAGTTGAAGTTCCTGTTCCTAAAAAGACTAAGATTGGACTAAAAACAGTATATTGTGTGTTTATTGGTTATGCTCAGAATAGTAGTGCATATCGATTTCTGACTTATAAATCAGAAATACCTGATATA